ATATATATATATATATATATATATATATATATATATATATATATATATATATATATATATATATATATATATATATTTATATATATATATATATATATATATATATATATATATATATACATATATATATATATATATATATATATATATATATATATTTATATATTTATATATATATATATATATATTTTTTTTTTATCAATTTTATATATATATATATATATATACATATATATATATATAAATATATATTTATATATATATACATTTATATATATATATATATATATATATATATATATATATATATATATATATATATATATATATATATATATATATTATATATATATATATATATATATATATATATATATATATATATTTATATATATATATATACATACATAAACAACGAAAAAATGTGATTTGTGATAATAGTAATTGTCAATAAATTTTTACCTTTTTTTTAATAGTTACAAGAAATGATTTTAGTTCTTTATTTACTACTGTAAAAGGTGTTTCAATATTTTTGTGAGAATAAAAAAGAATTGATTTATCAGCGAAAAAAATTAAACTAAATAAGTTTGATGTTAAAGATAAATTATTTATGTATAGTAAGAAAAGTAAAGGTTCAAGAATAAAACCCTTTGGGACTCCGCAAGTTATACGTATTGTTTTCTGTTTGAAAGGTTTTTCAAACCAAAGTAAGTTTGTCTTTTTTGTTTTGTAATTTTTCAGTTTTACTTTTAAAATGGAATCATTTATCGTATCAAAAGCTTTGGACATGTCAATGAAAACTCCTGGCGTAAAACAGTCTTTTTTAAATGCATTAAATAAGTTATTAAATAGCTCTTATATTTTTGGGTGATCTGTTGAAGTTGTTTTTTGAAACCTAATTGCTACAATATAAAATGTTGTTTTTAGTTAAATGATAATGCAGCCTATTGTACATTATACGTTCAAACAACTTCGAGAAACAAGACAAAACAGATATAGGCCTGTAGTTAGAAGGGTTTGACTCATCTCCAGACTAAAGTACTGGAGTTACTCTAAAAATTTTCAAATTTTCCGAAACTTTTCCCAATTTAAGTGACTGATTGAAGATCAGACTAGTAGAAACAAAGATGGTTTAATTATATCACAGACTTTTTTTAATATATTAATTCTAATTTTATCATATCGTGCACTTTTGTTACTTTTTAAGCATAGTAATGCAGTCCACAACTCACATATATCAAGCTTTGACTCATTCATTTTTTTATTAGAATTTATTAGATAAGAATCAAATTTAAAGATGTTGGAGGATTACTTGCTAAATTAGAGCTAACGTTAATAAAAAAACAGTTAAGTTTTTCAGCAACTAGTGTTTTATCATAAATTGATTCATCGTCAATTAAAAGTTTTTATGGCAGAGCGTTGTTTTTATATTTGTTTTGTCTGATTAGTTCTTTAATTGCATTCCAAGTTTGATGAGTATTTCCAATTACTTTTTTAAGCAATTTCAAACAATATAGTTTTTTAAAGTATTTTATGATTTTTTCAAATATATTTATATAGTTTTTATATTTTGCTTTATTTGAATGTTTTTTTTTTAGAAATTTTTCATAAAGTTATTTTTTTCTTGGAGAGTTTAGTAAATTTTTTGTTATTCAAGGCGATAGAAGAGATTTTGAGTTTATATAAAACTTTTTCATAGGGAACGCTTTATTGTATTGTTTACAAAATTGCTCTGAGAAAAGTTCATTAGCATTGATAGCATAACGTGATTGGAGAACAAATCCTAATTAACGAAGTTAATTATAAGGTTGCAAAATTGTTGTATGGAGTTTTCATTGATCTGTCGCTCAAAAATAATATGTTTTTCGGGAATATTATCAGAGGTTATGCTTTTTATTATAAGAAATGTGAAGAAATGGTCTATCAAGCCATATTTTATTATACCTGTACTAAAGCAGCTATTAAAAAAATTATTTGTAATTATTATATCCTGTTGGGTAGAAGAACATGTTATGATTTTTGATGGCTTTGTTATTGTTGGAATAAAGTTATTTTTAAAAGTGTATTTACAAAAACATTTATCGCTGTTATTTGACGCTGGTTTAAAAGATAAATATTCAGGCCACCGACTAAGTAAACATGCTTTTGTTTTTTATTAACTTTTGTTAAAAAATTACGTAAGCAAGCTTTAAAGTTTTTTAATTTACTCGTTGGTTCTTTATAAATAACATTAACAGTTATATTTTTAGAATTATGGTTAATTATTTCAATGCATAATGACTCTTTTATGATTACTAATGTAATCTTTTTTATTCACACTGAGGTCATTACGTGGTATAAAATTAACGGTAAGGTTTAAGGAGGTGTATGCATTTTCATTTATTCCGTTCATTAAGTGGTATAAAATTAATGGTAAAATTCAGGTAAGGAAAACTTCAATGTTCCAATCAAGGAAACATTCGACTATTTTATTATATTAATACAATAACACGCTTGCAGCAACTTTTAAGATAAGTTTATACTGTTATTTTGCATTTTAAATCCCATCGAATTAAACACAAAAAACGATATAAGCTGAAGCATCATAATATACCAAGCGCAATTAATATAGTGTGAACACAAAATTGAATCGCTGAAAAAAATGGCTCAAAAAAACTTTAAATCAATAGTGCAGACATATTTTTTTCGTAGAAAATAATGCGTTTTACTAAAAAAATGCAAAATATAGCCATAATTAATTTTTTTTCAAAACTAAATGCAAGTGTTACAATTAAGGCGTTGTTCCAATATCGGCAACTCACCCCTACAAACAATTAGTTTATTATGTTCCCTCTAAAAATTTCAGGAAATGATGGGATTGAGCGGAAGTTAATTAAAGCTTGCTCTGTCACTTATTTGTGAATTGAAATAACGTTTGCCTTAAAAATTTGTAGCATATAAATATAAAAAAAACTATTTTTATTTTAAACGTTTACTTGATTTCCTGATTTTTAAACAACATGCTGTAGAAAAGATGAGACTTTATTTCTCTAATGCAGAATACTGACTTTGTCAGTATATTTGATTTAGACCGGGCTATTAACTTAGTATTTTTAATTTACCCGGCCAACATTTGGTATGAAAAAATTTGTATAATAAGAACCACTAAATATTTTAATTAGGCGTAATGCAAATAAAGGCTACACCAAAATCTGGATAAACTCAATAAGTTTGTCTGTTTGATTAGACTGTTAAGAATTTATAACAATTTCAGTTCAAATTTAATTAGTTTTTTGCTACTTATATCATTGAACTAAACTTTACAAGTTAGGGTTGTTTTAAAACAAATTTTGTATAAACTTAATAAAAAATGATCCTAAGACAAATAAAGAAATTAAAAGGAGGAAGATAGGAAGGAGAAAATTTATTCTTATATATAAAAATATATTATATATAACATTTAAATATCTAAAATTATATATAAAATAAATCTATAATTAAATTGTATTAAAATATATATATATATATATACATATATATATATATATATATATATATATATATATATATATATATATATATATATATATATATATATATATATATATATATATATATATATATATATATACATATTCATTTAACACTGTGTTGTATCAATAAAGACTCATCAGAAATGAATGATCAACTTAATAAAACTTCAATTTATATTAATAAATAAATTACAGGAAGTCGCATGTCTTTACACATATGTGGAATTTGCTGACACAATTAAAAAAAATTCTTTAGAAATGATTACTTATGCGTTTTAAAAAAAAAAGTTTTTTAAAGAGGGATATAATGTAACTATTATATGAGCTCACTTATTTTTATAGTTTTTTAGGAGAAACATATTTTCGTGCCTGCAATTAGAAATCAATTCCGATTTTTAGTTTAATAAACATTCTTGGTTTGCATGCATATTTAATTCAAATTTTTCTTGTAGACAGTATGCATTTTTTGGAAATATTGTTATATGCAGGCGCTGTTTTAAATCATCAATATTTTTGTCTTTCAAATCCCATATATATTTTGACGGCATAGTGTCTTTTGAAACGTTTTATTTTTAAAAGATTGCTTATGATTGGCAAAATAGTTTTTTTATTCAACCTTGTTAGAAGAAACAACACATTTATATACCACATTTTTGATAAACAACTTCCTCTTATTGCACAATTTTGTTTTTTGTTTATAACTAGAAATTTATGTTGTTTTTTTTGTTTGTTTTGGATTTCTTTTTGTTTAAGGTGGTACTTGGGTGAAAAATCCAAATTCTTTATTTCTTACTATTTAAATTTGATATTTTGGTACAACAATTATATACAGGTAACTATGGCTTTTTTTAAAAAAAAAAAGAAAAAAATTTACAGAAAACCCTTTTTTGGGTCCAAAGGTCTCAAAATGGTCACTTTGCGGTGCGTCAAATTCATAAAAAACCACCTGTAGAATAATAAAAAAATTTTTACAGTTTGTTTATAGTATAATTTTACAGGTATGGGAGCAGAATTAGCCTGATTGCATAACTAGATCTAAGGTAAATAAAATTCAAACACCTTGCTTACAAAAAGGCTTAAGAATAAAATTTTGGGTTTGGGAAACTCTGGACCGAAAAAAAATTTTTCAAAAAATGTTGGTTCTAAACCTGTATCTTATAAAAAATAACCACCATATAAAATTTCAAGAGTAAAGCTCAAATCAATCAAAAGTTATATGACGCACTGTTTAAAAAATTCAATTTTGTGATAAATGTAATTTAAGTAATAATATACTAAATCATTACTAAATTTCTTTTAAAGATTCGAAAAAAAAAAAAGACATTCATGATTGATCACCGTAAATAAAAAATAATAAAAAATCTCTAATATAAACCATAACCACACTTCATTTCTTCTGATTGATTAGTATTTATGAAATCTTTTATGAACTCTTTGAATATACTTTTTTCGATTTCCTTTCCATTGACTTTGGTTGTTATTTGAAACACAGAACTGATTTGCATAAAATCCTAGAATATCTATGCCCTTTAAAACCTTTAGAGTTCCATTTGAACTATCATTAAAATTTATAACTGCAGAAGCTACACCAAGCTCAACAGTGGTTTTACAAACGTAGATATCTTTTTGAAACCCTTTCCAAATCATTCCATTTAGTGACTCATTTATTTGTTAGTTATTTTGAGTTTTGCCATAAAGATATTTTTTTAATAAATTGTCATAACTCAAACCTAAAAGAACAGGTTTTATTTCTTCAAGGACAACAATTTGTAATTCCTCCCTTATGTTTGTATGTTGCTATGCCATTTATTTTGTCAGCCTGATATTTACAGCAAGTATCAGGAGTACGTGGGCACATTTGATACCATCTATATTCTTATAATATCTTTTGCTTAAGAGCAATGGAAAAGCACTGTTCCGATTACTTTTTTCATCCACTAAACTGGTATAACTTTTTCCAATTTCCCTCATAGCAATAACAAAACGTACATAAACCTCAAACAGGTCTACCACGACTGCTTTTGCATTTATACTTGAATTTACATTTACTTTACTTGAATGAAAAGTTGCACACCAACAACAACTTGAACATTGTAACAATAATGGTATAGACAAGCCTAGCTTTCTCAAGACGTTAAATGTTCGACTCATAGTCTTTTTGTCACATTCAGGGCATGTTGCAACTAAATTAATAATTTCCATAAAAATGTTACTAGAAAAAAGTATAAAAAATCAATAATATACAAATGGGTTTGAAGAATTTACACAAGGAAACAAACTGGTGTCATTGGTGAATAAAGATGATGCAAAGTTTGTTGACCTGGCTTCATTAGTGATTTTAGAAGGTTATGATGTGCCTCATGATAAATATGACAGATTTGTTTGAAGAAATAGGTGGGTTAGGAGGAGGAATCTCAGCTGGTTCTTCTTGTGTTTTTGTGTGTATGTGTGTTGGTTACCTTTGAATGTCCGTTTAGAAAATGCTTTTGAGTGGCCAGATTTTCTTTGTAACATAGCTTGACTCTTTTTTTAATATTTATTATTATTATAACTATAAAGAACAAAAAAAGAATAATAACAAAAAAGTGTAACTAAGCTTAATTTTTGTTTTTCTTTAATAATGAACATTATAATTAAATAATTTGAACAAAAAAAGAAAATAATAACAAATAAAAAACCAATTGAGTTAACTATAACAAAGCTCAAAAAAAAAAACAAAAAAAAAAAAACATGTAATTAAATCAAATAAACGAAGATTAAAAACGTAAACAAATATTATTTCACTTGCAGTTTTTCAACTTTAAACAATTCAAATGCCATGTAACACATGTATTTAATTGGTGACTTTTTGCATGAAGTTTATATTTCTGTAAAACAATTTAATGACTTTAAAGCAACCAACCATGGGTTTTTACACATACTTTTAGAGGCTTTCAGTTAATCAAAATTGGTTGCTATGGACGTTGCTACGAAAGTTGAGTTTGGAGTTTAAGAGTGCCTTTTTTAAAATAGAAAGTTAAGTATCATCTGAACTATTTTAAATGAAACAAATTACATAGGCGTTTTCTGCATAGCTCAGTTTACTTAAAAACATTCACTTTGAAATTTTCAATTTTTACTTTTTTTTTACCCAAGTACCACCTTAACAAAGCATTGTTGTGAGTTAGCTACTGTTGCACAAAAATATGAAAAAAAATATAAAAGGTCATAAAGGTAATAAATGAAATATAATATTGCTAAGTGATTTCTAAAAATTTGTAATTGTAATTGCTCTGTTCTTATAAAAACATTATATACTCTATTTTATAGAATACTTTTTAAATTGCTTAAATATATATTAAGCTCCTTGCTAACTTTTGTTTAGCACTCTTAATTGTTTTTTAAATATCCGTGTAAATATGGAAACAAATAGTTTCACGTACTCGTTCATAAATATACCTTTACTAGATGAAAAAAGTTATACTATTTCTTTGATCGAATAAGTTGAGCATTTTATTATAAGATTATTTTGGAAAGCGCATTTTTTCTCAAATCTTAATAAAAACATAGATAATGTATTTAATAATAACCAGGATAATGATAATTATGGATTTAAACAAAATATATTCCACCTTTTAAACATGACTTGGAATATTTTTAAAATGATCTATTGCATTTAATTAACCCAATAAAGTTTTGTCCCATAAAAACAAATTTCAAAAAGAAATAAAATTAAAAAATTCTAACAAACCCTAATAATATGGTTTTTGCTAATAAAGCAAATAACATTTACTAACTCACAACAGAAAACTATTTAAAAATTTTACGTGACAATTGTACTAGATTTTATGAGAAAGCCCCTAAAATTCAGAAAAAACGCACTTAATTTAGAGGCGCAAAGTATTGCTAAAAAAAAAATCTTGGTAACAGAATCGAGTCAACTGCCACTACCCAAGCCTTTGTAGCACTAAAAAACCATAAACCAAATTTTCAAAACAAACTTCTTTGTAGATTATTGGTCCCCTCAAAACGTGAGAATGGAAATGTAAGCAAAATTAATTTGGACAAAGTTAATAATATTCTAAGAAAAAAATTAAATTTGTAACAGTTAAAAAATACCACTGATATTATTAATTGGTTCTCCATAATAATAATAAAAAAAAAATGATTGTACATTTATTCAATTTGGTCTTAATGATTTTTACCGCTCAATAACTGCAGATATTATAGATAAAACAATTGAACTTGCAAAAAGCCAGATAAAGCAAATTAATTTGTAAAAAAACCTTACTTTATTTTAATAAGGACTTTGAAAAAGAAAAACATACATGACTGCTTTAATGTTACAATGGGCAGTTATGAATGAGAAAAATTTTTTTAATTTGTTGGACTATACATTTTAAATTTATTAAGTAAAATAATCACTATAATGGATTTAGGCCTTTATCACGACAATGGTTTAATAGCGATGCGTAAAAAATCTGGTCCCCAGCTCGTTAAACTTTTTAAATATATTATAAAAAACTTAAAAATATTGAATTTTAAATCGAAATAAACATAAATTTAAAATTGCGAACTTAATGTCACATTTACCCTCTATAAAAATTCAAAGAAAACTTTCAAAAAACCAAACGATGAATAATTGTATATTAATATTAAATCAAACCATCAACTCCAAGTTCAAAAGCAAATCCCAATTTTGATTAATATCAGGCTAAACCAAAACTTCTCTAACGAAAATTTATTTAATACATTCAAACGAATATTTTTGATCCTTTATTTCTGATGAGTCTTTATTAATGAAACACAGTGTTAAAGAAAAAAAATATTTTTTAATTGATTTTCTACTTTTATATATATATATATATATATATATATATATATATATATATATATATATATATATATATATATATATATATATATATATATATATATATATATATATATATATATATATATATATATATATATATATATATATATATATATATATATATATATATATATATATACATTGTGTGGTGCAGCTTATCTGTGAATATTTCTCCAAATCCATTTAAAGACATAATGGAAAACTAACAAAAGTTACTAATTGTTTCTGTAGCGTTTAAATAATATTTAGTTGATATTTAATTTAAATAATATTTAGTTGAACCTTATATTGTAGGAAACTTTATATTTGTAAACAAATTTTAAGTGTAAAATTCGGGCACAGAAACATACATTTTTTGTTTATTAAAAATACAGTTTGTTTTTTTTAAACTTTTAAAACAACCATTGAATATATTGACTTTATCATAGCAAAAAGTGATATCAAAACCTTTGTTAATTAGTTAAAAAAATGAACTTTTAATTATAAAAAAATGTTTATTATTTAAAACATTTTTTTTCTTTTAAAGTATTTTCTTTAGTGCAATTTTCAAACATAAGACGATTATTAGAGAAAGTAAAATTGCATCGCTATGTTAGTAAATAATTTTATCCAGTTAAAGGAAGGCAATTGTACTGTTGCATTGAGGTCAGGTGATAGTAAGGTTTAAACATTAAAAACTAGGACAATTACTGATAGCATGTTATTGCCTAATGTTGTAACAGGTACCACCCCGTTTTAACTAAAAAAATTTTGCAATTTTTTGTAGTTGAATTTTCAGCTATTTCCAGCGCACTTTTAAACAAACTGCTCGCAATATAAGAAACCTGCGTGCGGTAGAGTGCTGTTAGTAATTGTAATCTTACTTTTCCGTTTAATACCACAATGCAAGAAAGTATTATTACTGCTACAGTACACTTAACAGCAAAGAGTAAATGTCAGGTCTTTGCTATAAACCAGTTACCAGAGGAAAATGCTGATAAATATGATTTATAGGACAATAAATCATACAATAGCGGGCATTTGATTTTAAAAGTTACGTTCTAAATGTCTTTTAAACGTCTTTTAAACATTTTTACGTAAAGAACGTTTAAAAGATATTTTAAAAACGTTTAAAAGACTTTTAGAACGTTACTTTTAAAAACAAATGCCCCAAGGGATGGTTTAAATTTGATTAAAATTTCACTTGCTTTCATTTGAGGAAATTTGTAGTTTGATCATCTTATACGTACCCAACACAATTTCACACAGAGTTGCAGTAATCTATCCTACTATAACCAAAATTTGTTAAACCTCGGGTAAATAAAGCTAAACTGTCTAATGCATCATCTCCTAACATTTGACTCAATTCTACAAACTTTTCAATGGATCGATGGAATACTTCATTAAACCAATTTCTTATTGCTCTTGACAAAGGTGCATTATAAAATGAAACATAAAAACTTGTTTTTCTAATTTAAAGCCTTAGACATATCCGTTTCATTGAGAACAAGTATTTAAAAGGATCTCGTATGTCATTAAAGCTCATGATGGTGAGACAACAAAAGAAATTTTCTATTAAAGTTCAATAAATATTCTTAAGAAGCACTGTGACAATGAAACAACATAAAAACTAAAATCAAACAAATTGAAAGCTGAAAAAGTTGTCTGCATCAGGAGACATTAAGAACAGGAGTTGTGGTTCTTTTAATTAAAGTAATGACAAGACAATAATGTTTTATATGAAACTAATCAAATAGAACCAGATTTCAACAATTTTGTAACATAAATTTGTCTTGTTTTAGTTTAACCAGAAAAAATTAAAACTAAAATAACCTTGATTTAGATTGCAGACACTCTGTTAAGGTTAATAAAAATCCAAAACTTTAAAAATAAGGTTCGAAAGGAAAGAAGGAGACTCCGAAAACCTGGATTAATGTTCAGTACCAAAGGATGTTTTTGCTAAATCTTTCTTAACAAGAAAAAGTAATAGCTAAAGTTAAAAAATGTAAAAAAAAAAAATGTAATACAATTCATTATTCGTTTGAATCAGATATGTTATCAGGAGATATCAGAAACATTTGGTAAACAATTAATCTTAGAGAACTTGTGTTAAGAAACATTTGCTTTTATAACTAATACTCTACAGTTTAAAATATACTTCATAATTCTGCATTTCAGCTGCTCATATCTTAACACCAGTTGTAAAGTTATTTTTTATTTGTATATGTCTCCTAATAGTACTTCTAACTTTGCAAAGTATAATTTTTAGGTATTTGGTTTAGTATATTTTCTATTTTTAAATGTCAGTAAAAAATTAAGGAACGTTAATTTTAGTGTAGTGTTATTCATTAACAGCTGTTTATAAATATTTGGATTCTACAATAATAATATAAATAATGATAAATCCTTTTCAAATTACTTAATTTAGCATAACTTAATTTACCTATCAAAATTAAAGTTTTTTGATCGATTCTGTAAATGTATTTAATAATCTATATTTAATTTATAGTTTATCAAAACCACCAATAATAAAGGGTTGATATTGATATCATTTTGGAGATTAAAGAAAATAAAAAAATTGAAAAAAAAAAAAGTTTATCAGAAAAAATAAACTGAATAAAAAATGTTCTACCAGAGCGTTGATAACTTTTTACAAGGTTCTTTTATACTATAAATTATATAGATATTTGGGTATTTTGCAAAACAGCACTAAAACCTAACAAAATACTATTCTATTATTAGGTAAACAATGATTAATAAAAAGAAAACTCTACCTGGGCAAGGTACTTTAAAATTGCATACTTGAGAACTGTATCCATAACAATTACCACCATTACATTCTCTTTTTTGAAATGGAGATACCAGAGAACTAAGCTGGCAGGTTGCTGAGCAAGTACTCCATTCAGACCAATCACCGCCTTCATTAAGTAAAGTGATTTTAAAATTGAAAAAAATGGCATTAAAAATAGCAACAAAAAAATTTATAATAC